CTGTTGAGGAGCCCAACAATTATTTGAACGACGGATACGGTTTGGCGACTATTTTATTCAGATGCGCTCCGCAGTTAATGGAATTGACCTTGGAGGGAGGTCAGTCAACCTTCTAGAGTAGGGGATGAGGCGGAAGGCGGTTCTCCCGGAAGAAAGCCAAGAAAGGGAAGTGCGGACGTGTTCTGTTGGGCCGAGGGATTCGGGTGAGGTACCCAGCAGCATCTCGCTCGTTATGGGCGTCAGTGGCTTGCGCCAAGCAGCACGAGGCAGTAAGACGGGACAACAGCGCAAAGTTCTGAGTGTGTGAGAAGCGGCAATCCCGTCTCCCGTCATCCATCCCGACTGCGAGGCTGGATAGGCCCGAAACTCGGCACTCATGCCCGCGTGGGATCCGGCTTTTGAGAAGGCAGGTCGCAGCGTCTGGTCGCGGCCGCTACAGCTGACGCGAACAACCACCGAGGCCCAGCACCAGGGAAGTTGGACACGCATGAACACAGATCCACATTGCCTGGAGACGCGCCGAGGACACTTCTCTGTTGCTTGGGCCAATGCATCACAACTGTGAAGCTGCAAAGCAGCTGCGCAAAGACGGGAGCTTACATCAAGTGGGAGAATACACGTACCTCTTGTGAAATGTTGAGCTGAAGTGGTGTCTGACGCGAATGGCCCTTGCCATGCAGTCGCGACAGCGAGAGCGACCCCTGGAGAGTCTTGGCTCACACACGGGAACCCCGCAGTAAAGTAACTCCACAGTTGTTCCCAGCCCTCCAGCTCCAGCGGATTGAGAACAACGACAGTGCTGATGGAAAGCCTCAAACACTGTCCTCTCAAATCGCTCTCGTCCACAGGGCTTGATACTATCAAATACACGATTCCCTTTGTCTATCCTGTTCTCCCCTTGGCTTATTTCTCTTTCATCGCAGTACGGATGCAGTACGGGTGACCATCAGACAGTCTCACTTCTCGTTGCCAAGCCCGGGAGATTTGAACTGGCAGTGTCAAAGACGGAAGACTCCGAGTCGGCGGTGTCAAGCTCTCGGAATTCTCAGGAGAATCCTATCAACAATTTAACACAACAGTCAGGGCTTGTGTTGCAGATAAGGCAAACACAATGGAAGCAACGGGCTTCTCATCGGTGGTGTTCCGCGGGATCCTGATTGGGCGAGACGAAACGCGTACGGCTCAAAATCCTTCCGTGGATTACCGCACAAAGGATGATTGACGACCACCCCAACGTCAGGCGCCGAGATCTGACATATATCGACCCGTTTGAACGCTTTTGCAGCAGCAACGCTCTTTTGGACGAGCTGAGAGCGGAAAAGACCGTCAAGATGGACTCATCAACAAGAGAGTCTTCTGAAGACTCTCTCAACGTCGTCCAACCCGCCAGCTCATCTCAGTCGGCGAGCCCTGATGCCTCATCAGAACGCATTCCGTCAACCCCAAGCGACCAGGTCATCGCCAAAGCCCGTCGCAAACCTATACCCAAGAAAGGCCACACCAAGTCACGGCGGGGATGTCTTTGCTGTAAGAAACGAAAGGTCAAGTGCCAAGAAGACCTGCCCGAATGCACCAATTGCAAGCGGTTGGGTCTGAGATGCGTCTACCCTGCACCCGCCCTGCCAGCAGCAGCAGCAGCAACATCATCCGAGCTGTCGCTGGCCCCGGCTGCCCCTTTACGGACTGCGCCCGGGACTTTTACCATGGAAGACCTCCGATTCTTTCACCACTTTCTGGTCACGGCCTACCCACCCTTACCGATGCTGGGCGATGACGTCTGGAAAGGCGTTGCTGCCCTCTCACATCAGTATGACTACCTGGCTCATGCCATGTTGGGGCTTGCAGCATCTCACCTCTCCCTCTACAACGGCAATGACACACAAAGCGCTCTCAATCACAGAGTCAAGGCGATTGCAGCCCTCAACGAATCCCTCAACCATCCCTGTGGTTCATCAGCCGAGGGAGACGCGCGATTCGGCGCTATCATGGCCCTCACCTTTCAAGCTTCCTGCATGCCTGAAGGCATGAGCGAGTTCTTGTCCATGATTCGTGGATGCCACATAATTGCTGAAACTGGTATGCTGGACTTCAGCAAGTCGCTTTTCCATGAGTTCACTGAGGAGGGTTACACCGACAGCGTTAGGCGGTTAATCGGATCAGAAGGGTTCGCTCCTGAGGGCCAAAAGGCGCGCCTCTTCGAAGAATTCTTTCTTTCGCTTCGAAAGCTTGCGCCGTTGTGCACGAGTCCGCTGGAGATCAAGTTTCTTGCATCTGCCGAGCGGGTATCAAAGCAAGTGGCATTTTCTGCGATCACTGGTGAGTAACATTTTGAAGTTTGTGATAGCCAGATGCTGACAGAGCGGGTTTCTCAGCATTCACTGAGTGTTCTGGTGTGTACAACATGTTTACATCATCCAGCAATGAGGAATTCGCTCCATTTCTCGACCCTACAAGCTATCCAACCCAGCTCCTTCTGATTCACTTCTTCTTCATCGAATTTGCCATCGGCGAGCTCTGCCTCGGATCTATGGGTGAACGATTTGGATTTCGGAGACGCGCTACCCTTTCGTGGCTGAACACCCTTCTTCTGACGTTGCCTGATGAATACAGCAGCCATGCAGAGTGGCCCCTGAAATACGCTCGAGTCCTGGCTGCTGGCCTGGGTTCCCCTTTCACACTCAGCCAGATACACCCAAACATGCCTCAGTTCCTCGCGCCCCGGCCCGCTTTATCCTTTTCTTGAAGGCTGGTAGTCGAGAAACTGTGCATGGCGTTTCCGTTTCTAGTGTCGGCGAATGCGGCTGCTGCCATGGCTGGGACGCAACTCGGTAGCTGCCTCCTCCGAGTCGATGCTCTCTCCAGCCTTGCCCAAGATTTTACTCTTCCCACCATCGCGTCCAAGGCACGCGCTGGGATGGAAAAAGCAGAAAATCCCAATTGCAATAAGCATCGGCAGCGACTCAAAAACCCAGAACAGCCACTCGTGCCGGAAAGAGTACCCATCAACACCCTCAGCAAACTCGGCGACACGATAGATACACCGAATCTGCTCACGAATTCGGTCAGCGATTTGTCACCAGTCCAAGTCATCAGAATACTCAACCTACCAAGATCAACAATGACGACACATAAACCGCAATGACAACCCCTTCCCATCCTGCTGGTGCATCCTGTGCAAGATATCCTTTCTTCGCAAGGTAGTGAAATCGTCCAAAAATAGCGAGGAAAAAAGAAAATGCTACCGCTTGCAGCGCCAGACCGCCAATGAGGATATTGACGCCCACATCAGCCGTTGTTCCAACCCACTCGACTGAGCTGGCGACACTGGAGCCGGAGGCCTGGACGAGGAAGGAGATGATGTCGAAAATGACAAAGATGCGTGTGATCTTGCGGCCGTGGACCCCAAACACGCGATGGCCGGTGGAAGACGAAAGGACAGCGCGGATAAGGCGTCCGATGAGGAGGTAGTTTCCTGCGGCGACAAGCACAGGTGCGAGGACGATTAGAGAGAGGGTTGAAGCGAAGGGGCCCTGGGAAGAGTTAGAAGTGTCTGTTGCAGTTGAGGGAGGGAGGGGTACGGACAATTTCTCGGGGGTTCTTGATGGAGTAGCACCGCAACGCATATCCAGCTACCTCGATAGCGGCACCGATGACGACGCAGAGGAAGTACCAGGCGCGGTATCGGATGACGGTCAGGTAGAAGATCCAGGCGAAGACCAGGCCGTAAAGGACTGCTGCGAGGACGGCGAGGGGGAAGGATGGGGTGTACATCCATATGCTATCTGGTGCTTCAGCCATGTTGTCGAGATGGAGTTTCGAGCGTCCGAGATTCAGGAGGTGATGGCAGAGAGCGCAGTAGACAGCAACTCGTTTCTGGAAAGAGAATGCGAAAGCTCAGGTGGTATTTGAAGAGATGAGGTTGGTTACACGAGAACTTGAATGACAACGATCTAGAAACATCACCACCAACGCCATCCCAATGCATGTTATATACAACATCTCAGGCTATCTTCGACGCCCTGCGCAAGAGCCGTGCACGACAACCCCATCATCGATCGGATCCGAACCGAGGGACTTCGTCGAACGTCTTGGCAGGGCCCGTCAGCCTCAATTCCCGGCTAGGGCAGGGGAAAGGCACATTAACGTGATACATGAAGCAGACGCTGCGGCGGGTTGGGTTGTCCTCATGCTGAGGTTTGCGCAGAGGGTGAGACCAGGACTGTGGTCTTGGCGGGGGTGTAAGTCGGCTTGGGGGCGGAAGGTGATTGGTTGGTTGGTGCGGCGCGGGCGTCTGGGCTGCGAGGCAAATCCGAGGAATCCGAATGGGGACGTGGGAGCTGGGCTTGGGGGCGATGGAGGGAAATGTTGTGTTGGGCGGGGTACTGGGGCTGGGGGGATTGAAGGGGGTCAACTGGGATGAGGAATACCTAAATAGGGTTTTTAGAGGGTGCTTTTGAGGTGGGAGATGGACGGGAGTGGGAGTGGGAGTGCCGTTGAGGATGGGTTGAGGGAGTTCGAGATTGGGGGTTAGGGTTGGGTTTGGGTTTGTCTCCTCCGTGAGGGTTGAAATTGCAGTGATATCACCAACGTTTCGGACTTGCCCGAGGGTTGGCCCGTAGTGGTCGTACCAATGGGGTCAGGTTTGTATGTGTTACTTCTCAAACCTCGTCTGTGTGGACCAAAAATGCAGTGCATCGGCGGAAACCACTCGGCTTCAACATTCTCACCCACAACCGCAAGACAAAACCCAAGATTCCAAGACAAGCCACCATATACGGCCATACCCATTGGAGAACTCGGGATCCCGTCCGCTCTCCCATCGATAAACCAGTGAGGGCCAAACTAGTAGTTGGGTGGGTGACCACCAGCGAATCCTTGGTGCTGTATGTTTTTTGGCGGGTTGTTTTTTTGTTTTTTTTTGGCTGACATTTTGGCTCCGTTCTCACTCCATCGTGGCTGCATAAATGGCTTTCTCGGCAGGGAAAAATATCCACAAAGAAGGACCGGTAGCTCAGTGGTAGAGCAACCGGCTGCAGCTTCACAGCAAATTCCGGTAGGTCTCGTGTTCAACTCACGATCGGTCCTCTTTTTGCTGTTGGGCTGGGAATGTTTTTGATTGAGGGGTGATGCAGGGAGGGATGTTGAGAGGTGATGGCTGGTGTTGGTTGAGGGCCTAGCTGCGATGCGTTCAGGGGGAGGGATGCAGACCCTAACCCTTCCGATGACACAGGAGGGGGTTGCCTTCCTAGATCCAATATTGCACGCCTGCCTTCCTCCAGTTGTCAAACCCACCTCGAAACATCCAGGTCATGCAGTCCAGAGCATGGCTCAAACCGACTTCCCGTCAGGCGCAGCGTCATCCATCCGGCCCACAGCCAAGATTTCAATCTTTCTCTTTTTCACTCGAGTTCGACGCTGTGTTCCAAGGCGGCACTTGACAAGATTTCATATCTCAAAACCAATGGCTTTATAACCAAATCCACATCTGGTCTCTAACCAGTTTCCCGTCAAAAGAGTGTTCTTCCGCAGCCTTGAATCCTGCCTTGTTTCGGGCAGCTTTGGCATCGCCGGCGTTTTCAATTCATGCGTCGAAAATTTGGATGTTCTTGTTCGTACGAGAGCGGCGGCTGGCCATACGTGACGTGGCTGCTTGAGTTGCGCCTGTTGCAGCCGTGCGAAGATGTCGACGGAAGTTTGAACCCTCACAGTCTGAGAACAGCTGCTCTGACTCTGAAAACGCAAAATATCAGTCCCTCACCAACCTCAACTGTTTCATATCCGACTGTACATATTGGCTGTCCAATGACAAAAACTCCTTCCAGGTTTGCCGACTTTTTCGTTTCTGCTCGGTGGTGTAGCAGCACAGACAGACGAATGGAATCATCTTCGTATGACATTCTCCTTTCCCACAAGGTGCCTTCATGCTTTTGTGCCAGTATTGGCATCGAGAGCATTTATAGATTGTTGTATGGCACATTGTTGTCTGTGGGCTGATTCCGAATAGGGGGTGTATTGCTGGCTGCCTGGTAGTGGAATATAAGGGAGAAATAAGAGGCTACTGTTGGGAAGAAGTGATTCTAGTTATTGCGTTCAGGGTCATTCTCTACGCCCGGGGGTGAGCTCTGGTTGAATTGTCTGGATGTTTCGATGTCTTAGGTGAGACAGGTGAACTGCAACCTGATGGTTTGGTAATCTGCCTGTTTAGGACATGCCTACGGTACCTGCATTGCTGAACTATGAGGGCTGAACTGGTGGCAGCCCAAGGTTTTGAAGAGGAACCGATGGTTTTTCAGGATGAGCTTGTTGGCAAACATGAACTCATATGGAATGAACCGACGAGTTCTTGAGGGAACTAATTAGGTATCTACACAGATAGATTGATTCAATGACTGCCTTAGATGGCGATTCTATATATCTCCTGACTCCAGCCTATACCCAAAAATTTGGTTTCAAGCACTCATTGTATTTTCTTCAAGTTGGTTCAGTTGAAAAGTGGGTCCGATATGACAGCTCAACTCGACATCGGACAGATCAAGTGACCTTCCATGTGCTTCTGAACGAAGCTCTTTATTCAGGGGCCAGAAAGGTGGTCTGATCTTTGAGTCTTCATCTTACGAGGAAGGAATGGAAATGGCGGTCTGGGTGTTGAGTTGTGATTGTGGCTGTTGCTCACCAATTGAGACGCCTCATGGAAGCAAGGTTGTGCGGGTACAGATGCCGGATTCTTCCTCCCTTGCATTTACTTGCCTACAGTCCTTTACACCAACCAGACTCTTCTCAACGAGGAACTGAGACTTTCAATATATCCTCAAGTCTTCTCAGTAAATTCAGCTTGGGTTTATTTCCACGTTGATGTGGTTTTGCCTGGTGTAAGTCTCCGGAGCGTTTCTTCCGCTGGTCCCCCACTTCCCCGCTAAAGTAATCGTACCACAATGACGTAACGCGGCTTAACGTCACCCTGAACCTGGCAAGCGGTGCATTCAGGTTCAACTTTTGGTTCAACAAGAATGCAATTGATCCGAAGCCGCCGCCGACCTTCAGGCCGAGAGAGGAGCGAAACCAAGTCAGGAGGCAAGGTCGGGCAGCATGCGTCCTCTCAACTCACGACAGAAAGCCTGGAAGCGGCTCAGATCTGCTCCAGAACAAGCAACTGCCATGGCGATCGAGGGCAGGGCCTCCAATCGCAAAGCTTCCGGCTGTGGGACAGCAGACAGGATGGAAGATGCGGAACTGGGCTCTGGCCACACCCCGCAGGCAGTTTGGATGGGAAATTTTCAGTTTCCCATCCCGAGCGGGACGATTCAGAATGCCCGTGCCGTAGCGCAATCCACACCACCAGTTGAACCCTTTCCACAAATCTGGGTGTTTTTTGGCCATCGCAATACCACTCCACGACGTGTGACAGCCGTGGACGAAATATCGGCCTTGGGGTTGGGTTTTGGGACGCATCTTCCTACACATTGCTTTTTCTGCTGCTGTTGGTGGTCGGTGTGCCCCTTCGGGCGTGTGGCGGCTTGTGGCTATTGTGGAGGCCGGGGTCGATAGGTAACTGCCAGCATCCTCAACGCCTCCCCAATCTGCTGGGGCAAGTGCAGACGAGAAGGAGAGAACGGGAGGTCATTGGCTCCCCTACCCCATCCGCGGTCCCCTTAGACCTTCGTCTGAGCTGTAGGGCAACCTTCTTCACCCACTGACTTCTGTGCGACGCGCACCAACTCTCTTTCTACGATTCACAGCGGCGAAGGCCAAACGCTCATCGGACTTTCTAGAGTTCCTCTTATGCGTTTGTGCCTTACGCTCTTGTAGTCGCCTCTTTCGTCTCTGACTTTGAGTGTCAATTGAGCCCAAATCCCGGGTCCTTGCCTGCTCCTCACAACACCCACCCGCTACTGATCGGCGGAAGTACCGCGTGGCGATCGTCGCCAGAACGGCCACTGGCGGCTCTCCATCTTGCTGGCACCATTCTTCAGCACCTCCGCCAAGAATCCGTCCCTCGTTCCATCTACATCACGGTTCTTCAATACTACAGAGATTGGCCGCCCTGTCCATATGTGTGAGATAGGAAATTGTCACCATTCATCCCTTCGCCTCTCGAGTTCCCAGAGCCCACGCAGCCACCCCGCCAATACAACGTCACGCCCCACCACCACGAACCTTCGGCTGCCAAACAGGCCCAGCTTTGGAGGTGGCGACACGAAATTCCCAGCTCGAAGGGAATGAACTGGTGTCGAGATCTTTTGCCGAGCCGGGAGGTCAGATCGATAACCTGGCCCCTCCCCCACCGCCAGGGAGCAGAGCGATAGCCATGGAGTTCGCGCACCAGGATGCCCCGCCAGGACAACCACCACCACCGCAACCGCAGTCCCAGGACCTGACTGTTCCTCTCGCGAAGGAGGAGGAAGACGAGCGCTGGTCGACGACTGCCACGACACCGGGCGGGACCAGCCATTCCGGAGCCGCAGACAGCTCGAATCCAACCGGGTCGCCGACGTGTATGTCGTCCTGGAGCACCTCCTCCGATCACCAGCTGGGCCACGGTATGCAGAACGACCCTTCGGATCGCGTTTTCCCCATCCGATCTGTCATCAGCGTCGAGCCAGCATGGGCAACACCAAGCGATCGTCGGGGAATGTCAATGTCGGATGGTGTAGGGGGCCCACCAGGAGTCGGGGCTAGCAAGCGACCATCTCCAACGCCGACCCCGAAGCTGAACCTTGATGGTTTTGATCGGCAAGCCGCAGCATCCCCAGGCAGCTCGCGTTCCGTCTCTGTTTCCCCCAATGTCAAATTACAACCGGTCGAAAGATTGCGACAGCGTCGAACAAATAACACGTCGGGGTCCTTGTCCAGCATCCAAGCCGACGCAGAACGACAAAGTCTTGTTCCTTTGATCGTCGAATCCTCCTCGGACGAAGAGTCGGTACCCGCCGTGGACATGGCCCAGGACACAGAGAGCTCCTCCGGTCGCAGATCGCCGGACCAGTCAGATCTGGAAACCCTTTACACACATCGATTCAAGCATGTTATGACCGATGAGGGTCACGCAGTCATTACGGGAAGAGACGGGACGCTGCAACGCTGCGAGGATGAGCCGATACACATGCCGGGTGCCGTTCAATCATTTGGCTTGATGCTGGCTATCCATGAAGAGCCCGATGGTCGTTTCCAGGTCCGCTATGTCAGCGAGAACTCGAAGCGGTTCCTCGGCCGCAGCCCACAGCAGCTGTTCCAGCTAGTCGACTTCTTGGATATTTTGACGGACGAGCAGGCCGAAAATCTCCTGGACCACATCGACTTTATAAGAGACGAGGACGCCGACCCGAATGTCAACGGACCAGAGGTCTTCAGTCTGTCTGTTAAACCTCCGGGGAAACAGCGATCTGTAAAGTTGTGGTGCGCTATGCATGTGCATCCTGCGCACCGTGACATGATTATTTGCGAGTTCGAAATGGACGACGACCTGGACTACCCACTGCGCCCTCCAGACGAGGAGATTCCTGGTGTCCCCGAAGATACCCTTCATACGAACCCCACCACGGAGGAGCTCACTGAAAGCACTGAGATTATGAGCAGACCATTGAGGGTGCTGCGGAGCGCGCGCAAACGTCGAGGCGAGGCTGGTGCAATGCAAGTCTTCGACATTATGTCTCAGGTCCAACAGCAACTAGCCAACGCCCCAAGCCTCGAGACATTTTTGAAGATCTTGGTCGGTATAGTGAAGGAGCTCACTGGGTTTCACCGCGTCATGATATACCAGTTTGACTCTTCCTTCAACGGGAAGGTGGTGACGGAATTGGTAGACCCAGCGCAGACAAGGGATCTCTACAAGGGCCTGCACTTTCCGGCAACAGACATCCCCAAACAAGCTCGCGAGCTTTACAAGATCAACAAGGTGCGTCTTTTGTACGACCGAGACCTCGAGTCCGCCAGGATTGTGTGCAGGTCGATGAAGGAGCTAGAGTCGCCCTTGGACATGACGCACGCCTATTTGAGGGCTATGTCGCCCATCCACCTCAAGTATCTCGGCAACATGGCTGTGCGGTCGTCCATGTCAATTTCGATCAATGCTTTCGGCGATCTTTGGG